CTGATCCTTCTGGATATCTTAAAATGATCTGCTTTTGTAACTTAATGTAAATGAGTTTTTTATCAAACTAGTTATCATTATAGAGAAGAAGAAGAAGTCTTTTTATTTATCAAAATTACAAAATATAAATGACAAAACAAAACAAAATAATATTTTTGGATTTAAAACCGAAAATTAGACGTACTACATGATCTGTTGATCGTCTGAGGAATCTGTGTTTCATAACAAAATTATATTTCAGTCTATTTATATACAAATACTTAATAAGAAAATAAGAACAATTATATTTACAATGTAAAAGTTATACAAATATTTTAATTATAAAAAGAGTGGTACCAAAATTCTCCAATTTATTAATTGTTAAATTCTCTGGTGAGCATTATTCCATACGAGAAAGCAGACCTGCAGTAATTTACCAATACTATCCAATTGTTTCCATTTAATAAATCAATTACTTGATCCCGAGATAAATTTCTAGACTTTAACCATTTAATTCTAAATTCAGAGAGTATCGGACAAGCAGCCAGGAAGTGATATAGATCTTCTGTTTCGTTTGTATTACACATACTACAATTAGTATTTGTTTGCTGGAAGTGTTTATAATTTAAGTTCAAAACATCAGCTCTAATTTTAATTACCCATCTGATCACCTTCAATGAGCTTTTGTCGTTAATATAATTTACTGAAGTTAAATGAGGATAAAAAGTGAAGGTTTTAGAATTCTGAACTTTAATTACATATTGATTATATATGTCTTTCTGAATTTGAGTTCTTATTTAATATAAAGATAGTTTTGAGTTCTTAGTAAATATAAATTAGTTCTCCATAGTTACCATCATCACAGTTACATCGATTTAAGTTGAAATTTAATCCATGCAGTTCAATCAGATTAAGTAATTCCCTAAACCATGCGATTTCTTTTTTAATTATCTGTAGTGCTAATATTTTTGGATATCTACGTGGTGGAAGATTCAAAATTTTTACAATATAATCAAAATGGAGTTTAATTGTGAAGATAAATAACGGATCTATTTTGGTCTCAAAGTGAATAAAATGTGTTGGAATATATTTTGGTAATTTAAATTAGTTATCATTATATTAATTGATAATAAAGTCAAATATAACATCGAAATTACTATTGAATGGATCTTCACATTCTCTGAAGGAAGGTAGAAAGAATCCTTTTGTTGGATACTTTTGTATTTGTTTACTTGTTTTATAGCTTTCCTTAAAATTCATAAACTTTTCGTGAATAACAAATGAAATATACAGAATATCCCGTAACTAGATGGAAATTTCATGAATTGAAGACTGCCGTTACAGTTGACAATATTTCCTTTTAAAATATTCTTTTAGACAAAGTCGTATGTTATATACGTATATACTACAATTATAAACTTGAATTTCAACATATAAATCCTATATTTTTTCTAATCAAGATCGAATCACAGATATCGTTATGTTTTTACCTGATACAATATAAATAAATTATATTAAAGGAAGGAGATGGTCATAAATAGGCTAAATAGTGGCAAACTATTTTATTAAAAGCCAACGTTTCGACCCGTCTTTGCGGGTCTTCTTCAGGGAGGTATGATCAGCTAGGAGTTTCACTTAGAACTCAGTTCAGACCTGAAAAGTCGGTTCAAAACGTTGGTTTTAATAAAATATTTTTGCCACTATTTAGCCTATTTATGACCGCCACACCGGACCTTAACCTTCCTTTATAATTCAACGGTCAACTATTAAATATTCAATAAATTATATTAGGCTTAAAATAAGAATCGAATCAATATGTTATGGAAAATATTCGTACTGGCGAACTAGAAAGTACTTATTTTTCTAGTCCATATTGCCGTGAAACCCAGAATTGATTTCACTCTATATTATGGGACATCCAGCGGCCGAATCCCTAGCGCAGTGGAACACAACACAACTGAATGCTGAGCGACATATGTGCCAGAGCAGACAGGCGGTAAATAATTAAATTGGCAACTCTCAGGGGTTCCAGCCGCCTAATATTGTGTCTCCTCTGACTTATGGAAATATCCTCCAGCATGGAATAGAGCCAAACTTATCCAATATTTGAGAGGGTGCGGTGCATGCTCGTTAAGGGTACGATTGTCGTACTGTGTGGGAACATTTCTGATTACTACGTATTTCAAGAAATCTATCCATTCTTTTCAGAGTTCTGGCAAACAGAGAAGTTTTATCATACTGTACTGCTTTTTTTCAAGTAGAAAAAATATATATTTTATGTGCATCTAGAGACTACACCGTTGCACATCTTCTTAGTGGGTGAAGAATAATTGAAAACAAAAAGAAAAAATAGAAATAATTCTTTTTGAGAAAATGTTCTCTACACTAAGATGCCCCCAAGAGATGCCCTCGGACTAGGAGGCTTCTTGGTCCAAACTAATTAAATAAATATATATACGTATGTTATATTTAGCATTTGCCTTTATGCATGTATATATTTAGTAAGTTATACATGTATGAATTTTGGTAAAGTATGAACAATTATTTCTTATAAAAAGACAGCTAAAGTAAGACAACTATTTATATCTATATATGTTTACTCGTATACTTTTTTTTACTGAAATGACTGTAATCAATATATGGTTTATACAATAATGTACAAAACCATGCTCTAATTTGTATACTTATTAGGTAAAAAAAATCTATAATCTATATAAATGAACAAATTCTGAAACAGCGGAAGATATTCGTTCTTTGTTCATGCATCGGGTCTCCTATCTTTTATATTTGGACTGAAAGGATTGGATGTGTCCAATGTTAAATCTAATCTTCGGTAAAGAATCATAAGAAGGCTTATATTCTATCAGTAGATATACAACTTTATTTTAATATTTTGCTTAATACTTAAGTTTATCTATTACAAATGTATTATTAGTCTTACGTTTAACATCAATTACTCAATTTTAACCTTAAAAACAAATAACGACATCTATTAATTAAAAACCTAATATATTTTATTTTCTGTTGCAGGTAAAAACAAAACGATTAACATATCTGTAATTCAACTCTGAACTGAAAAAATAAAGGTATTAAAATACAACTTTATTATTATTTTGGTCGTTGTTGACTATGTTCGAAGGAATGTTTTAGTACTGTCAACTGTTATGGCTGTCTTCAACTCATGAAAAAACGTAACTGCCTGAGAATTAATTAAAAATTTAATGTGTAGTGCAAGAGTACTGGAATAAATTTAGATTCGAGCATGATAAAGATTTTCATTGAGTGGAATGATAAAAATTATTCTGCTTTCAACAATATTGCCATTCGGTTTATCAGATAACAGTGACTAGATAAAACGGCCAATGTAGACTTTTTTTTTCATTCTTTCCTTCCTCGCCTTTTAGGCTACACGGGGTTTTCCGGGGCCAGTGGGTGAGGGCGGGGGTTAATGCCGGAGTTAAAAACTCCAGCTGGCACCAGGACGCAAACTCCTACTTATTTTATTTCTTATAATTTCGTTTATCAGGTTGCCGGGCAACGCGTTACCCTACTCGGCGATCCCCCCCCCCTCAGCGCGTGTAGACGGAGAAGCATACGTCTTTTAGATGTAATCGATACGATTTGTCTTATCTTACTATGCTAACTATAAATCGTAGCGTGTAAAATCGGCTTAAGACCAGATATGGGCAAATGCTACTCTGAGTACCGAGTACTCAAAATGAGTATTTTATTCAAATTGAATCACTATTGGGAATTCAACCACTACTTCAGTTAATCATTTGACATCAAATAATTAAATTCTTTGATACTCAAAAAAGATTAGTATTTGAGTAAAATACTTGATAATCAGTACACAGAGTATATCTGCTTAAGAAGATTATGAAATTTGACTATTAATATATTGAAATAAATAAACTCTCATTTATTTATAGTGTGGATGGTGTGAATATATATATATTGCTGAAGTACTAAATTTCTCATTCTAGATGCAATAAAAAACCTCATAGAGAAATCATCTAATTTGAGCATCTAAAATATAATAATAACAATGAGATACAATCTCACCGATTTATGATATTATTTTTTTTAGAGATTCTATTTTTAACCAATCAATTAAAATTAAATATACGAAATTCTCCTATATAGCATGGCCCAGTATTTCTAGGTAAGTTGAACTAAAACATATAACAACAACATAATGAAAACGTATAAGCCAAGGGTTAATTTTCATCCAATTACTGCTGGTTGTTTTAATACATTAAAACATAATAATTACACAATATCAAATTAATAACTACACTTGGAGGTACAATTAATATAATTTCTAAATATTTTAAAATGATAGACAAAATACACAAGTTGAATTCTAATAATAAAATCTATTAATTGGAATGTTAAGCAAACAAATATTTTTAGGAGTATTTTTAGGTGTAGGCAAAATACACTGGTTATCAGTATTTCTGACAGGAGCGAGTATGAACATTTAAAAATTAATAAAAAATTTAGGCTATGCAATAATATTTGTTTGTCCTTTTTGATTATTTTGACATTAATTCAGTCAACAAAATGAGATTATGTCTCATAAGAATTTTATTTATGTCAAAATACATTATCTACTACTATCATAATGAAACTATTGATTTTATTAACTGTTGGGCGCCAAAATGAAGTTTGGTCCTCCTGAAAAAAAAATTAGTCATGGTCTTGCTAAATATTTTAAATACTTTTAATTGAATAGAAATGGGAGAAGTAAGATATAAGATTATTTGTATTGTACAAATAATTCGATTGATGAACTCATATTTCTAAAACAGAAACTTCATTTTCTCGATTCATATCTTATCTCTGGTCAGTAATAAATACATCAAGGTAGACAGGTCCAGAGGTTTTAGTACCAGCGATAATGTTTCACCGTCACAGTAATAATTTTAATATTGATTGATTCTATTTTATGAGCTACTGTTATGTTATTTAATCTCCATCATTTTATTACTTCCTTATTGCCCCTGACCCATGACTGAATGTCAGCTGCTTCTTTGATGCCGCATTCCCTACAGCTCTTCTCTTATGATTTACGGGAGTCATCAAGAGTTCCTGTTTATGAAGTAGCCTACATCCTGGATGTGGTCCTGGCCAACCCCCTGGGAAATGGTATATTCTCGGCAATGGTTTCGAAGAAGACTGAAAATACTCCCGGGTACTACTGTTGTGAGTTGAGCCAACTAATTTTATGCTTACATAATTAAAATATGAATGTGCTTGACTGTATACGTGATTGGTTTATTTTAAGTTCACGAATTAATGGGCATTGAGTTTGTATCATATGATTTGTATCACGCTAAGTACATGACGTGCATATATATGAAACTAAAATCAAAAATTCATGTGAAAAACAAAAAGATCTACCACTAAAAAAAAAAACCTGTTTCACTAAAACATCTTCAGTTTAATATTATTTTATTAACAGGGTATGTTTTAAAATATATACAAAAAAAATTAAAATACTAGGGTGCAAGCGATATTTTTAGTTCCTTTTTACTACGGTATATTTCGTATAGTTATTGGTTTTCTTTGACGGTAGAAAAAAATACAAAAAACTTTTCTTTAATCGATTACAGAAAGATATTTATGGGAAGTAGTTTTAGATGTATTAATCATTCATTTGAATTTATTTATTTTTTCTTCAACAAGAAACATTTATTTTTTACAACTATATTAAACCGAAAGGCTTAGGAATTAATAAGAAATAAATTTTGTTAAAAAAAAGAAAAGAAATTTCATTAAAATAATTTTACTGTAACCAGAAACGTAGTTTTACAGAAAATTAGAACCAATATTCATATTGATTTTTGTAATTCAAATATCTTTTTTTTTTAATATTGATAGTGAAGGCATGAATGTGGATTTTTGGGATGGTATTGCGAGAATTTATTTTTTTAACTTTTATTTATGTAATTAATATTTTTTCATTTCTGTACTCTTTAATTAGATTTTAATTTTTTCCTTTTATCTTGTGTAAATGGAGCGAATTTAATTATGTAAAAACCATAATTAAGTCCCACACAAAGTTTCATGTAATGTTTAACAGTATATCGTAGGTGTTAATTTTAAATTAAAATGTAATGAAAAAAATAAAATTGTAGGTGATTGCAAGACCATACTCAATACTTTCCATTGTTTTTCATGATCTGGAGAATTTTTTTTATTTATAATCTAAATTATTTTATAAGGGAAGCTAAAATATATTTTTTTTTTTAATTTGGAATATATTCTGAATAAATGAAATATCCTAACACGTTTAAAACTTATTTGCCTATTTTATATTATAATATAAAATATCATATATATTTGCTTTAAAACCTGTAATATTTAACCGTCTCTTTTTATTATTGTTTTAGTAACAATTATACAATTATTTTTCACTCCAATTTCTTTTGTTTGCTCATACATCATATTCAAGATCAAAAAAGAGTGCTTCATCAAAAGTATCTTGTCTTCACTCACATTCAGGAACGGATATTTCACTTATAATTAAATACGAAATAGTCTCATTAACAAGTTATGTTTTATCCAATAAAGTATTATTTCGAAAAAAATAGAATTAATTAATTAATGTAGTGCACTCAAGTGTTGTTGAAATACTGACAGATTTGCATTAGTATAGCAAACGATGTATAAATATTTTGATCCAACCATCTGATATATTCTCTAAAAAAAGTACTCACTGATGAACTTAATAAACTTTAGGGAATAATACTTTCTCATCTTGGATAAGTTTCCGATTTTTTTCGAAGTGAATATTTAAGTTAAGCAGCCGGGAATTTGAACTCGATCAGTGTAACCCTCTGCTCGATTGTCTTTTAGAACATATTTAAATAAAATATAAAAGTATATTCAAGTGGAGTGATATTAATTGTACTGTTAATTGAATTGCCAGTTACAGCACAAAATAATATATTTTTGTAGAGAGTTGCTTTAAATATATTTTAGAAACATGTAGTAAATGTATTTTCCCTTCTGTTATTTATAAATTCTATCACATTACGTGAAATATAATTTATATTTATAATTTATAATTTTGAATATTATTAATGAATAGGAAATATTTAAAATTTAAAGATGAAATTATTTCGATTATATATATATATATATTAATAAGATAATATACAGTGTGTTTCAGGGTTCAATGGCCAAACTGCAAAAAGGTCCGAATTTCTTGACACCTCGACTCGCCTTTGAACAATATTTAATATGAATTTAATGGTTATATTTAATTAACAAAGTACTTGGAATAAATAAATACGTTTTATTTACTTAATATAACGTAAATAATTCATAACAATTAAAATCTTTAGGTGTGAATATCTCCTAAACAAAGCGTTTGCAGACATAACTTCATAGGAATTTTATTTGTTGTTTTGAGGTCCTTAATTCATATTTTCAGTTTGGCCAGTTAACCCTGTAACACCCTGCAAATAAATATAGTTTTTTTTTATTTGGTTCATTTCTATTTCTAACAGTAAAACTTTACCCATTTGGTCCCCAGATATTTCATATAAATAATATATATATATATATATATATATATATATATATATATATATATATATATATAAATATATATATATATATATGTTTTTTATAAAACTCTTAATTGTTTCTTATCACTGCGATTCTATTTTGTTTACAATACGAATATTGTATATTAAATTCGTCATTAAAAAATTAGCCCAAATGTTTTTCAATTTAAAATAAGGTTCTTTTCGGTTGAAAACGACCTGAAGGGCTGCAAAATCAGTGAATGAAAATAAAGTATACACTGAAGGGTTAAATGTAATGTTTTTATGATTATTTTTTTTATTTTTTTTTATGTTGAGAATACTTATATAAATCGTTTCCATGTCCTGCAAATAATTTTATTGGATTAATAGGAATATAATGAGGATAGATTTTGGAATATCTGGATATACTTTAGAACTTATATCATTTAATGAGCATATTATTAATAAAATATAATTATACAAACTATAAGTTGTAAATATAAGCGAATTCAAAGGGGCAGTTGATTAGGAATTCAATGAAATACTCGAAGAAGCTCTAATAAAATAGACTTCGTTATAATAATATTTAAATGAGGGAATAGAAAATCTCGGAAGCTGTTTCATATTTTCATTCCAGTTGAATTTAAAAAATATGAATCCTATTTACTAGTATTTAGGGACAGCCCTCTGCATAGCGGAGAATGTTGACATAATAGCCGGTGAAGAGAGGAGAAGAAAAAAGTAATATAGGAGAGGAAGACCCTCTTTCTGGACCAATGGTCTGTGCTAAATAATATTTTTAGATAAAGTTAGGGTTGCTGAGGGAAGGACTGATAGCCGGTCCGATATAAATAACCCTTGAAAAAGTAATACTCTTTTTTTTAGTTGGCTTTTGTGACAAAGTTAAAATAATAACACGAAAGTATACCTCAGCCATGTCATGTATATGAATATGCATCGCGTTGGTAAGGCCTTTTAATCTTAATATAAGTCATGTGCATAAAAAATTATTTTAACTAACATATCGACAGTCATACTGCAAAATCCTGTAAATGTTATTTTCTACAGACCTTGTAAATCTTTTGCCACCTTAATCAGCCTTGTTCATTTCTATCTGTCTTGGGCTATTCCTTTCAAGTTATCAGCACACTATATTTCATCTTTGTTGATTCTATCTATCTATCTGCTTTTTCACGTGGTCTGTTACCTTCTAATGAGGCATTCATCGTTATGTAGAGGTTTGCAGATGGAGGCTTCGAGCTACATGCCCTGCCCATCTTAACCTCATTGCCTTCATATTATGTCATATTTATTGACCAGTTTTTGTAAACAGCTCTTATTTATTCATTCTCTTTTATTTGTTAGTATCCTGATCGCTCCGGTCATCGTGGGAAGGACTTCTTTCTGAAATCTTTCAATACTTCTTTCTAGGACCTGGTCTCGCTGCCGTATATGAGAATTGTTTTCACCATAGCATTTCAATGCCTTTGGAACTATAATAATTAATTATATTCAATTATTTGTATTTCTGAATATACAACAGAACCAAAGGCAACCAGAAAAGCTCAAACCCCTATGTACTTACAGACTTTGTAGTGTGGCTGTCGATAGGTTTACAAATAAAAATTAAGAGTTTGAACAGATTAATTTCAGAATCTACCTTTTTGAACTGATTTTTTTTTTTTTTAAATATGTTGTGTATTAAAGCTATAATACATTAAGGTATGAGACATAGGAACGGTTCAGAAACTACCATATAAATGTTGATCAATCTAAAGATTTATTACTATCAATTGATTTATTACTTGACGGCAAAGAAGATAATCAAAACAGTAATCACTAAATAATTGGAACAGAAACGGCAGTTGGAGTTAAAGAAGAAGCAATGGGCTTTATTACTGGAAAAAAATGGTAGAGAACCAGAGGATCTTCCTAGAAGTGAGGCCGTTGCACAGTTTAGGATGAGAACCGGACATGACTCCAAAGCCATCTACACCGTATTGGAGTTGTCGAATCAGCAATATGTCCACTGTATCGACAGGGATTCATGACAGCTCTACTGACTTGTTCCGGACTTCAGGACATTAGAACCAAAGCCAGGACATAAGGTGAAATTTACTGGGCTGCTTGTCGTCGCATGGCCGAGAGAGAGCGCTAGACGATCAAGGCATAGGATAAAAAAAAATAATAATGAAAAAAAAAAATTTTTTTTAAATATTAACTATAAACTTTTGTAATACATGAAGCAAAAACAGTTTTAGGTGTAATGTCTTAAGCAACGTAACTATAGTCGAATGAAGCCACAGTTCAGCCCGGGATAATCAATCCTAGATAGTTGAAATTACCGTTTGTCGTATTTCAAAATGGCACCTATTTAGGTTTTTTAAAAATCTGTAACTGTATTTCATTTGTAATGATGTCAGAAAGATATTCAAAACACCATTAAAGTTATTAATAAATTTAACTCTTTTTTTTAAAGGTCTACTTACTTTCAGAAATAACATATGAGGACGTCCCTACAGATTAGTTATATGTACAAGAGCCTTTTGCTTTTGCAATACTTTTTTTCTAAACAAATATATCTCAACTGAAAATATACGATCCGAAAATCTATACATATATCGGAGAAAAGTGATGTTTCACTTAATTAAATTTTTTATTGCCAATCATTCATGTTTCTCTTGTAGTCATTTTGATTTATTTTATTTTTTTATAATTTCATATATACTACACCACCAACTTATTTACGATGCAAGTTCTGCAGAGTCTTACTTATAACACTATGATATCATACTTGTTGACCTTAAGGGGGGAAAGCCCTATAGGTCAGAAATATGAATCATTGCTGAGGACCAAAACACAAATATTAATTCAACGGGCATAATATTTGAACATTATTATCTATAATAGAATAGAGCTAAAGTGGTCAGAATGTATATAATATTTCATTAATTATACTGAAAAAACATTTTTTTCCTCGACATTGTCAGAGTAAATAACTTAGCATGAAGTTATATGTACAAACACAACATATTATATTTGTGGATAATATGTATAGTAAATATCATAGCTAAGATACCTGCTGTCTAGAGGCCGCATGTGTCCTCCGTAACGTAGTAGCGGCCTCCAAACATTTTTCCGCGATATTTATTAATATAGCGCTTGAATTATAATTAATATTTAATTATTTAAGTAATGAAAATTTGGAAATTAATAGAATTTAGGATGTTATAGTTATAAATAAAAATAGAAACAATAAAATATAGATAATAAATATTATCAATGCCGAACCTTACTGCGTCCTCTAATGAGAAAACAGTCCCCAACTTTAGTATATATAATTAAATAAATAAAACTATAACAATTAATATTAATGATTACACTTTAAAGTTTATAGATAATATGTAATTATAATGTGAAGTACCGTTCTTAGATTTCTCTTCTTTGCTCGTTCAGTCCATCATATCTCGACTTTGTTCCTACCATAAAATCACTTTTCTTGAATCTTTGCTTTTTGTTTTTTCCTTTTATCAAATTTAGGCGGTATGTACTTCATGTTTTTCTGAAGTCGAATATCAAGCAAAAAAATCTACTTCTCCTAGTTCAATTTGATAAAATTTTTAGAGATTTCAATGGTTGATGTCTAGATGGTCTAATATCGATTTTTTTTCTTCGCTGACGCGTAATAAGTCGTTGGTTTTATTCTAAAACAGCAAATCATCACCCTTCAAATATAATATATTATGTAACCATTAAAAATGGTGATGAAGTTACATAGGCCCCACTTTCCAACATGCACATGGCTGCAATATAGGGAATGTTTTTGTGTCATATATGGTACCAATAAAAGAAACATTCCCTACAAGACAATTCCGCGTAGGTGTTGAATAAGGCAGTAAGATGGCCGTGACATGGACCAATGAGAACCCTGTTTACATCCTCTACTCTCCCTTCCCATCCCAAAAAGGCCGTAATACGCACCTCTATTTTGAATAAATCATTGTCTTAGGCGCTCTTTATGTCACGCAATTTTTATTTGTGGGGGCGGCGGAGGCAGCCCTACACTCATTCACCTCGAGGCCTGACAAGCTAGCACAATGTATGAAAGGTGCCACTTGGTATATTTTATCACGAAATATTGTTCATATCATATGTTTCAGGGGAGTCTTGTAGCTCGCTATGTAATGAGTAGCTTCGAAGCTCCTGATTCCGAGGTTCGATTTCGTCTATGGCTGATATTCATTTATTTTGCTATATCAGCCATGAATCAACTCTGGCATCGGAAGACCCAGCTGTAACTCATCCGGTTTGTATAAAGTGGGTACTCTTAATCACTAGCGGATCCAGAATTTTGGGGTACCTTCACTCCGAAAGCTTTTTTTTTTCATAAAAATAACGATAATTACTTTGGGAAAAAATAAACAAACTAACTATCTATATGAAATGGCGTTTAAGTGATTCATAAAGTCCTTTTTAATGAAATTACTTGAACAATAATACTTTAAGAGATAATTTTTTAATTTTTTTTTCCATAAAACATGGTTATATTTAACCATTTTGGGGGCTTTAGCACGAAATTCCCTCCCACGTATATCCGCCATTGGTCTTAATTAAATAAGTAATTAAGGTAACCCGGCAGCTGAGCGTGATCTCGAGCCAATCCCCTCCTTGTACAGCCTTTGGTCACAAAACGATACTGAACAGAGTTGTGAATCCCAGACATATTCAAAAAAATCTTACCTTATTTTAAAGAAACTTAAATCAAAATTAATTAAGTTAAGTTTCATTCGTACACACTCAGGTTTACTTTACGTGTTGATTTACCAAGTAAGTTTCTTTGTTAGCGTCAATTGAAACAGATCCGTCTTCTCCTACCTACGTCATCTACAATCCTACGCGAATTCTCACCGCTTTTCATATCAGATTACCAAAAAAGGATCCACAGTCTGAAGAAAATAAATAAATAATTGTCAATTACCAATGAAGTGGTAGTGCAGTTTAAAAATGGTTTATCAAAGTTTGAAATTGAATATTAATCTATGCATTTTATTTATTACTGAAAACCAAAAAATAAATATTAAAAGAATTGAGAGAAAAGTTCTCCTAAGAGAAGCGATCTGGGATCAAAGTACTGACACATGGAAGTGAAGGAACCATAACGAACAGCTTACAGAAACAGTTTGATTCATATCTCATGATATGAACGCCAGGAGATTATGATGAATTGGGCATGTTACTCGGAGTAATTAATCAGGAATCATTTCCACAGCAATCAATGCCTAATAGTTGGCAATAGACTGCTTGAAAGTAAAAAAACAGGTGGATACATCAAATCAACTAAGATGGAGTAGGTCTGCGTACAGATAACTAGAAAACCCGAGATAGGTACGGAAAAGTTTGCTTATGGCGGGAAAATATCTACAAAATCTGTAATACTAACAAAAATATTATGCTTATTCATATTATGCTGTATTACTGATTTTTTCTTCAACTATAGGTGTCTTTATTACTATGGGTGTATAGAAGCTCTTCTTTCTTCCTTCTTAATAGTGTCACATCGATCGATTTCGCTTTTGTGCCCTCGAACGTTAACGATCCATTTTTCTATTATGCAGCCTTTCCGGAGACTATCAAGGCACCGCTATCTCCGCCATTAACAGTCAGAAAACCTGGGAACGGACAGGTAGTTCTCGTAATTACACGACCGGAAAGGTCCCTAATCATTATTCCGAACTATGTCATTTTGGCCATAAATTCTGAAAAGTGACATCCATCCCTATCTGCCTTGGGATATTATCAAGTGTTTATATTTGCATGAATAATAACCTGGAGGATGATTTCCCTCACAAATGGGCCGTTTTTTTCGGATAAAATTACTATCTATTATTCGAAATGCTATGAAGACTTAGACTTTTAAATTCCTTCCCTAAATAATGGACCCTTTGGATTGATTACCCAATTGTGTTCAGGATCAAGGCAGACCCATAGAGGACTTTTAAAAATTTAGACAGATCGTCGTAAATTATTATTATTTTGTTTAACTACGTTCTGCAGTTTTATAATTATTTTTTTTTAACTTTCAATATCAATCTATACCAATCTCAATGTATACATATGAGGAGTAAGTCCATATTGGTTTAAGTATGTATAGGTATGTATTTAGTCTCTGTTTCAGTTCTAGCTTTGAATATTTGAAAACAATTGAGTGAAATAGTTTGATTAGTATTTTAAGAGTCTTCCGTTTCATTTTGAGATGTGGGATTTAAAAAATAATTTGTAATAATTCTGTATATGCATACTTGTCACATTTTTTTTTCGATAGAATGAAATCATTTATTCTTTTGTTGCTGAAATTGTTTTATTATATGGTATGAAACTTAAAAAAATATTCGACAAAAAACCTTTTGATTATCTACTTTAGCAACCGACCGCAATTTGGTACTTGTAAAATTAACTTATTGTACTTGTAATGAATAAAATAATGATTCAATATTAAAATATGTCTGTAAAAGTAGTTCAGTAAAATATGTGGATTAAATAATTGCGATAACAATCATTAGACAAGTAATAAAACTTCGTTCCATAATACGTACTTAGCAACAAATTATTACATAGCAATAAGTTCGAATACATTTTGATAAATATCTTTTTGAAAAAATTTTATAAATTTTTTAGCAAAATAAAAATATATATCTTCCTCATGCTGTCTATATAATAAACATTGGTAAATTTAATGATAAAATAGTTTAAAAAATAGAAAGTTAATAATCGAAGAGTAATTTTATGACAAAAAAAACTAGAATAAATCGTTGTTTAGGTTTTAAAACACTGAATGAATGAAGAACAAATAGTCTAATATCGATTATTAGTATTGATTTTTACAAATTTAGAAATTCGTTTTAAAATAAAATGCATCAAACTTTCAAATAAGGTTCTTTTTTCATCCTTTCCTCCTTTTTGTCCTTAATAAAGAACTGCTTACAGAAAGGCTTTATCTCATAATATGAAGGCAATGATGGTAAGATGGTCGGGAAACGTAGTTCTATGTAATCCATTAGCTTCTTCACAACAATGAATACCAAAATAGCAACAGACCATGTGGGACTAAAACTAAAAAATATATGAATTGAATCAACACATTGAAACTAGAAGGCTGACTATTATAATTAGCTCTAATTGGAATATTTTAAAAATATTTTCATTTCACTGGAGTATAAGTTCCTTGAGAATAACCAAATAGAACAAAATTAGAAGATTCCATCTGACCTAAGTATAAACAATACATACATACACACACACACACACATATATATATATATATATATATTTACAACTTTTAAATTCTAGCTTTGAAGAGGATCCCATGGTTGACTAATAAAAAGAAAATACCGGGATCGAAACGTCAATAAACAGAAGAAATGAACATTAATTAGTTTATTAAATAACAATTAAGTGACCTTATTCCCAATAAAATAGTGAAGTTTGAATTTATATATATATATATATAAAGAAAATATTAGGTAAACATGTTATATACAAAACAAATAAAACTATATACAATCTACTTAAAACTATGACAAGGCACTTAAAACAACTTACAGTAATAAACTAGTATAAATATACTTTTAAGAAAAAGTTAATGAAAATATAAAAATATTTCAAATTCTCTCTTAAAGTGAGCTTTGTGTTTCTGTTGGGGAGAAAGAAAGTTTAACCTGATAATATAAAGTGTTATATATTATTATAATTATAATGGCGCTTTGGTCCTGCAAGAAACCGGGTAAAGTCGCTACGTCCTGCAAGAACCTGTGCCTCCTCCACTACAGCCAACCAATCTCCACGGTCTTGTGCTACTTCCCTCTATCTCCGAACGCCCAGCCGCCTCAGATCGTCTTCAACATCTTCCAGCCATCTAATCCGAGGGTGTCCTCTACTTCTTTTGCCATCCGGGTTCTCATGCAGGATCTTCTTTGCCATTCTTTGGTCTGGCATTCTTTCCACATGACCTAACCATCTGATTCTGGCTCTTTTTATCAAGGCTGCAATATCAGGTTCACCATACATAGACTTCCCGCAGCTCCTCATTCTTTCTTCTTCTCCAAATTCCATTCTCAAAGATTCCGTCCCATATTCTTCTGAATACTTTCCTCTCCAAGGAGTTGAGCGTGCGTTTTGAGTTTTTGGATAAGTTCCACATCCATACATAACCACCGGTCTTACTATGGTTTTGTATATGAGAATTTTGATTCCTTTAGAGAGTGATCTGAACTTCAAGTCTCTTTGCAGTGAGAAATAGTATCTATTTCCTACTGCATTCCTGGCGTTATATATAGTGTAAAGTGTTATATATAAATTCATCATCTTCATTACCTAGCGTAACGGCAGGCGAGAATTTAATTGTATATATGTAATAATAATATAAAATATTATAACTATAAACAAAAAATAGATGCGTTCAGTGGCATCAAGAGTAGGAAAATCTAGGAAGTATCTTAAATACGTAATAAAAATATATACGTATCTTCAAACACATCTGGTTAATTCATTTCACCTTGAGTATTTGAAGAGGTAATTACAGTTCACGTATTTCTTAATTTCGTTTATTTTTTTTTTTTGTACTTGATCTTTTTCATGTCAGTTAAGGCTACAGATGTTCTCATATTCTTATCAGGTGCGGTGAGTATAGAGAAATGCCTTTATCTATTCATATCGCACGAAAACAAATACAAAAGTTTATTGCTTGTCATCACAGAGCTAACTATTTACTTTACTGACTTTAAAACCCGTCATCGCCTCTCCCTCCTTTAGATAATAAAACTAGCCGAAGATTTATTACATAGGGTCCCCGGGCAACTGGAATCATATGCTGCCGATGACGGGAGCTAACAAAGAGAGCTATTATGTTGTAGGATATTATGTGTTTCGTATGATGATATTTCTCGACTCCGGCACTTGACTAGGTCCTGCCATTCATCATATATTGATATAATGGCGAGCATTGGCAAGGAGGGTGAAGGTCGCACTATTGTGAAGGCCGTGGTGCACCATATGCTCTCCTTGCAGCTGCCTGGCGCCTTAATTGTCGAGTCAGTGTCGCATATTGTGATTCGCTACGTTTGAATCCAATCGATAGAGGAAAATTTTAATTATATAAGTCATCGAAACTAACCTATTTCGTTGACTATATTTTTTTTATGTACTACATTTAGTTGAAATATAATCCGAAATATATATATTGTATATAACCTTCTTTCTCTGTTTAAAAGGTATTGAAAAATCTTATGACATCTCAAATAATTTTTTTATATATATGGTGTCTTCAAGGAATATATAATAGTTTATAATATATAATAGTAATAGCCCTTATAGTTTCAAAAAAAAATTATTTTAAATCCGACGACGTTTCGAGCTGATTAGCTCATTATCAAGTCATCAAAAACATTTTTTTATATACTATATCAATATATAAGTTCATGAACAACTATTTGAAGTACCCCAATTGTCACAGATAATTATATTTTCGTCACCATCTCCCTTAAATTTGTGCGCATTATTTAATTTATGTCCCCAGTACGGTACCATCTAATTTTTAATATTGACTCTACATATACATATATGTACAGTCAATATTAAAAAGTAGATGTCTTGATAATGGGCTAATCAGCTCGAAACGTTGTCAGAAGTAAAATAAAACATTTTTGAAACTATAAGGCTTATATATTACTTGAACACACCATATACAAGAACATTGAGTGCCCTTGAAAATTACTACTGTAGTAGCTAAATATACTCAAATTAATGGTTAAGGGAACAATGCTTTGATAATGCAAGTTCTGATAAACTGTTGATTTGAAAGAATGATTTTAGAGAAACATCCTCCGCACGATTAACGGAGCGATCTGGAATCAGAGTACTAGCCAATGGAAGGCAAAGAAAAATAAAGAACTGCTTGACAGAAACTAGTCAATCAATATCTCACGAGATTACGCAATCTATTTCCGCAAGGAATTCCCTCTACAACAATGAATGCCTCGGTCCGGTCGTAGTTACCACATAGACAACGTGGAAGGCGATAACCAGATGGAAAGATCGGATCGACAAGTACAAACAAAATAGAGCTACGTGCAGACTGCTGAGAAGGCTAACGGTGGCGAAAGTTCTATAAGGTCTGTAATGTCAACAGAAAAATATTCGAAATAATTGTGGAACTGAGCGAAGGATTCAGAAAACTAAATGGAGATCAAAGTTCACATTTTTTTTTTCAAATTTGAGTTTTTGACTTATTGCGATAGACGAGGAAATGTTTCTTGTCTCTGCGGATGAATATTCCGCGGGGCTACTTTCATGCTCAGTAATCTAATGAAAGACATTTAGTAAAATTATTAAAATATTAATTTTCAAAAAACTCCATCCCAGATATACTAAATAAACCACAATTACGTTTAAATAGTTCTTTAATTGTTATTTGGGCTTAAATGCGTCCCCCTACGCCTCAATGTTACCAAAGCGTCGTTTGCATTGACGTTATTTACGCTGGTAGTTTCTTCTTAGTGCCACGGAAGCTCCCCCTCCCACCCGGTTATATTCTCGAAGCGATAATAATTTTCTAAAAATAAATTAATCAGTCTTGCAACAATTCCTAGATATTTTCAGACTACCTTGGTAGACTGAAGTGTATTCTAACAGGTTAAAAAATCTCCCTCCTATTTGTCCTAAATTTCTTACATTCTCAGATCAGTTTATTTATCTGTTTGTTTAAAATATTATTATGCTATAGAATTTTAATATGATGTTATTTATTTTATTATATGTTAATATAATATTATGTTATAATATTTCAGCCAAGTTTTTATTCATAAATCAAGAGTTTTTAAAAATATTTTAATATCTGCCTAATTTCAACTATGTTTAGTTAAGACTTATGGTTTAATTAATTCTCTATTTTAAAGAGTTAAATGTTTTCTATTTAATTTTATCAAATATTTCAGTATATAGTATTAGGTAGGCCGAAAATCTGAACGGTATTCAGTGAAGTCAAAGTGACAGCGCATAGCAAGTGAATAAAAGTTCTATAAAAGAAAAAAGTGTGTTTTAAGATGTAATTTAAGCAGTTTAATTACATGGACTCGCTCTACCAAAGAGCTCTATGATTTGACTTAGTATTTTATATTTCAAGAGAAATAAAAAATGTAATGAAGTTGGTGACCTGGATTGCATAGAAAGTTATATGGTTATAATTATCAAGAAACAAACTTAGACCCACTCGACATGTCCGCGAAAACAAAGCCCCACTCGCTTTAGTAATGTCGCTATAAAACCAAAGCCGTACTAATTATCGTTTCAGAGAAGTTAGTGTTGAAGGGCCATAAAGTTCATGAATGGCCAGGCCAAGGACAGGAACATAAAAGCAGAGGATGTGTTCCGGAAGGAGACGGAGAAAGGAAAATAGAGAACAACAATAATAAGTTGGATAGATGTTAGTGAAAAGAGGACGATAATAAAATATCACGGCGTGAAACACATTTGTATTCATTCGTTGCCACTTCAGACATCTTTTTTATTTTATTTTTTTATGGCCAGTTTTAGTAGACGTGTATATTAAAACAACCATTCCATGCAGTGAGGATTCAAGATTCAATTTTTTTCACAATATTATTCCGGTGCACAGTGAATGTTTCTACAGGTATTTCAATGCTTATTTTCAAAGACAGTTCTTATCATTTCCAGTTAATTTAATCGATATCCATAACAGATCAAACAATTCCTCAAAAATAATATTTCTTTCTCTACTCCTATACAACTGCTAGATAAAGAAAACATATAACTAATAGTTTTCCTGGTTACCTCATATGTTTCCTTCACTAACTATTGCTATATTTAAAGAATTTATCTAATTACTAAAGGACATACTGCAATAATTTCTTTCGTTGTCATATTCTTCCGTTTTCTTATTTTTATTACTCTTGAATTCCCGTTTGTAGCGGTTTGGTCAGAAATAGTCCAGTCACTGGAAGATTATAGAAGGAAATGAAAGTGACACAATTTTTGACTTTGTTGACATTGTTGGGATTAGTAAGGAGGTAAACATACTAAAATTCTCCACTCCTATGTGGTGAGGCAGATGTGTAGGGGCGCCTAGTTCGTCACTTTTTTCAGGTTTTCGCTTATATCAGGAAAACTATCCATCGCATCGACAAAGACGTTCTATAAAAAATTAAAGCTGATAAAAATTTTAATAAGATTGATTACGTAACTTTTTTTCGAGATATCCGTCATCAACTATCGCTAATGTGGAAAAATATTTTGAATCTCATATTTTTTTGCAGTATTTGACTAGCTAACTCTTGATTGCTCCGTTCTACGATTAAGTCATCTGGAAATAAGTTTTTAATAATTAAAGTTTCTTCAAGAATATATACTATTTATCTTCAACGGTTCATAAGTTAGATCAATTATAACTTTATGTGTCAATTTCGAGAATTTGCAGAAAAAAAAATAATTTTTATAAAATTCGTTATTAATATATTGCTCTAACTCACTATACTTCCAAATTACTATTTACGGCATTACGGGCACTCCTCAAGAGACTCCACTCATCGTGACCCCCTTTCAGGTCTCAATAAACGAGATAGAGGCTGTATCTGTCAAGCGTGCAAGAACCATTTTGTATTTCATTTGCTCATCCGAAGCAAATTAATAGAATTTTTGTAGTGCAAGATGCAAGAAGCATTAGACAATATAGAAAATTGGTCAATAGGGAGTGGTTTTAGACTATCTGCGAACAAGACCAAAGCCATGCACTTCTGCAGACTAAGAAGGTGCGTACTCATCCAAAAAATTCTGGTGGTACTGAAATTTCATTTGTTGACAGCCTTAATTATTTTCATACTACTGTTCGGAGGTTCGTGTAGTTAGGGACATTAAAATTTTAACCTTATTTCATACGTTGGGATTATTTTTTTAAATATTTTTTTTTATTGAGTATTACAACAATCTGTCTCTTGGACATTGGGTATAGTGAGGTAGGATAACATTCACACTATATGTACAAAAAATATAAAATAAATAGAAGCAAAATAATAATCAAAAGTATATACCATCAATAATAAAATAAAATAATCTAAAAATAAGAAAATTAAAACTAACCAAAAAAAACACATGCATACCTATATACAATCAGGCAAGGGAACTCCAGGATAACCCTGCACTATTCTCTCAACCGCATCACTGGTACTAAAGCCAGCGGAGATTGATCGAGAGCAAGGGATTATTAAAGGACACCGAATTTTCAGGTAATCGATTTCTAGTGACTTCAATACTTTTGCTGGAATAAACTTTACCTACATCAATATTGATCAATGGAGACAGAAGTAGTAATCGACAACGACAAAAATATACTGTATAGATGCTAATTAAAATTACTTTGTCCGCTCATCTTTAGTTACTAATAGTGGCATTTATTGGCGCATAATACTATGATTACGTTAATCCACCCTCTGTCATCAAACAGAGACATCGGATCCAAGACGTATCCTCTAATCGCGCCTGGAGCCTTAACGAGAGCGTGGCTCGACACCCCAGCGCAGTGACTCAGCCCCGACCTGCCGCACTAATCCCGAGGCACAGTGACCCGCAGCTGTGCTGACCTCATCCGATCCCCGAACTCAACTGCTCCCTTGCCGATGGCTGTTTATCTAAGCTATTGAGCTGTGAAATTTCCTTTTAGAGGGTCCGTGCCGATAATCTTTCTATCAGAGTAATGTACGCTTTTTTATATCCCGTGTCCTCCGACCTCGTTTAGCCGGCTATGTGTAACAGCCGCTTTATTTTTACACTCATATAAAGTAGGCAACTCTAGTAGTATTAGTGTTGCTCAAAATCGGTCTTGGTCTTGCACTTTGGAAGACCAAGATCATACCTGATAAAAAAAATTCGATTTTTAGAATAAAAAATAAGGCAAAATTTAAAAGTTACTAATACTTGACAATTTAGTTACTATGGGTAAATAATTGATATAATTAATATAATGCTTAATTAACTCTTCTGATTTTTAATTCGGGCTTTAGTGAGTTTCTCCTATCTAAAAAAAACAGTAATATCTTTATCGTAATAATAGGTAAATGAAAGACTCTTGCGTAAGACCAAGACTGAGTTTGCAAGACAAAGACTCGTCTCAGTCTCGTATTTGGGCAACACTTAAGTACCATAGGTTTGTCTTTTCTGCTTCATATAAAATAATAAAAGTACTTATTCCTTCTAAGGATGCCCAGAAGGGAGTATCATGGCGCCAATTGCTCCATCAAAATTTTTAAGGGGGTGAGGACAAATTTTGACTCTATAGCTTTCATTCACACAATATATACATGAGAAAGGGAAACAAATAAAAATAACAAAGTAAGAAGAGAAAGAAAAAAAATATATATATATAAAGATAAAGTAATATACAGGATAAGTAAAATAACAGATTAGCCGAATGATAACAAAAATTGAAAATTAAAAAATGAAGTTGCTTTATTGAGAAGACAAAAACAGGTCAACTCAACGGATTGGTCCCATGATTCGTTAATTAAAAATAATTCTAATTTAAACATATATTACATCTACAGTGTCTGCAAGGATAAATCAGTTTAAAATTAAGAATATAAAAATACTTTTACATTTAATCATTTACCATTTTTATAAAAATTAGGTTTGTTAGAAGACTTTTTCATAGCACCTTATTTCAATTTATGAAAAGGTTCGGTTTTAGTTAGGTTGACGTAGTACTGCCACTCGAACCAATCGCTGTTAGATAAATGCCGACCATCGCCGTGAAAAGATCTTCAGCCTCCCGAATGAGGAGAGGAACCGCCTGGCTGAAGGAAGGCACGGCTAAAGCTACAACCTGCTCGCTAGTTAGCTTAATTAGAGCAAACTTTGCTTCGGTTAGTCAATTTCGGTCGAATCTTGAGCCGCAAACCTGAAACCCTAAGGCACCCTTTCCAACTTCACCGTTACAATATTCGTCGCTTACCTTCTCTTTGCGGTATTTTGTCTTGTCTATCGTTCCTACGGTTAATAAATGTTTTCTGAAGACAAGGCCCTTTCTGAAGTTCAGCAGAATCCCATCTTTTAAAATTATTATACTTGGTGTTGCGGTGGTTTAGATACAGAATTCAGGTGTCAAACGATAAGATGGGCTCTTGATGTGTAATTAATATTTTAAAAAATGGTTTGATTCAGTCTTATCAAGTTGCTAATGAAGTCTTCAATCCTTTAGAATATTGACAACAACACTTCAAAATCCAGTAAGTACAATTTTATTGAAAGTTGCGTTTTTTTTTTTAGTTTTTCTGGTCAATCTTATAGTCCGTGGTACAGAACCCTTTTTGTCGAATATTTAACATACGCCTGAAACTTCGTAAGTAATTTTATCTCATCGTAATCTACAATATTTTTTGTACGAAAACTCTTGGAATCGTGGTGTTTCCAATCTGCAGAGGGACAAACTTTGTCTATTTAATTATGTGCTGAATACTCGTAAACACTCATTTGCTTTCTACTTGGATCGTTAGGTAATTTGATCACAAAATCGAGAAAAAAGGCAGCCTTGATAAATATTGAGCCGTTTGGCGCGATCTACGCCCCCAAATTTTCAAATAACGAGTTCATATAGGACAAATGGCCCAATATTTTTGTAGACCACCTTTCTTATCGATATTGTGATCAAATTATCTTACGATCCAAGTAGGTAACAAATGGGTATTTACGAGTTTTCAGTACGTAATTAAATAGACAAAGTTTGTCCTCCTCCAGATTGAAAACACATCGATTCCAAGAGTTTTCGTAAATAAAATATTTGTAGGTTACGATGAGATGAAGCTATTTACCAAGTTTCAGGCGGATGATAATAATTTGCTAAAAAGTGGTCTGTACCACGGAATATTAGCATCATGCATATAGTAATGCTAACCAAAATTTAGAAAATCACATGTTTGAAATACGCTTACATTTCGCTTCATGAATAATTTCTGTTTTTGTATCTTCATGGTCTCTTGCTAACTGTCGGATATAGGTTCTTCACTACATGTAAGAAACAAAATAGTATAACAATACTGTACAATGAAACGACTCGATGCATGATTCATAATACTCCAATGTACATACGGTAATATCGGCTCCAAATATATTGAGAATTTTTTTAACATAAGTTCACTTCAATTTATGTGACCAATATACATGCAAACATGTGCAGAACAGCCTAAGAAGACTCAATTTTAATTGACGAAATTTCTTATTAACAAAGTAATTGTAAATTGAGGAATAAAATCTGGGAAGGGAGGATGTTAATGTCATGCTTGGCATGCCATTATTTTCCATGTGGACATAAATCTGCTAATTTCACCTCATATGACGCTGCATTAGCAGAGGGTGTTAAACTGTGTCCCCAAACACACGCAAGTTTGGCGGCGCAGGTTCGAATCTGATTGAAATTTAAAAAAATGACTTTATAATAACATAAAATAGGACATACTGTTTTTAGTTGTATTTATTTTTTATTTTAATCGCTTAAAAAAAAGAAAAAGTACTTTAAACAACCAAAATAATGAAATCTGTTTTTCTTTTGCTTGAAGTTTTTTTAAACCCTTATTTGCCTATCTATTTATGCCTATGTTTTTGATTTTGTTTCCTTTCAAAGATTGTTGGCGGAAGTACTTCTATCTGGTGTGATTATCTGTTAATATAATAGAGGATTCTTTTCAGACAAAAGATATAATAATCCAAAAGTTTCTCTTTATAAAGAATTGAAAATTTAGACCTGAAGCTGAGGTGCCTAAGGTATGGGTTTTAATCAAAAATAATTAATTAGTTTTATAATTTTCTTTCTATATGATAGTGTCTGTATAATTTACGAAAATGGCTGTTCTTTGCAAGTTCGATATTCATTATACTCGATTTGTTACTATCACTGGGCGTCTACGATAAATCATACGATGATCGACTAAATGATTTGATTATTAACTTCTGTCCTTTAATAATCGAAATACTTTAACAAAATATAGAAAACTCCAGCATTTTATTTTTAAATACTACTTATAATTTTTCTTATTTTTTTCAATGAGCAAAAGCAAAATGGTTCGTAATTTCTCTTCTTGCTTCATAAAAGCTTATTTCTTGATCCTGAAAAGAAGAAAGAGTAAGATGGTCATATTTTAAGTTCCGAAAAAATGTACTGTGGTCTATTTTAACAACGATCTTTTCTATATTCTCTTTATTATCGTATTTTATTGTTTATTAGAGTCTAATTTTATTTCTTTGCATGTTAGGGTAAAAACTTTATTTCTATTTTAATTTCAATGAACGAATATGAAAATAAATTGATAAGATACATGTGGGGATGCAAGAGTGATGGTAAAGTAAACGAGAAAGGAATAAGACCCAGTGAACAAAAACGAAAAGCAATGAACGATGAAAGAACAATATTTCGGAAGATAAATGGCTTTCTACTCCCGGCATGGACTACCCTTAGATTAGACATTGATAGACCATAAGGCGAAGGAGGAAGAAGTTAGGAGAGGAGGGACAAACAGCTAATAGAATCATAGCACCCTCTTCGTCAGAACCTCTTCGCAAGGACCTCTTCAGCAGGACTCTCGTCACGTACAGGACTCCCTCGGGACGACCCCTATTACGGCCAAAGGCAGGGTTCCGATGGTGTCTAGCTTCTCCTGTATTCTGTTATAAGTAGCCAAACAACTTCCTTAACGTCATGCTCTGCAATGGACTCGATGTTGGAATGATATCTAATCCTTTTGCCGATTCCATTAACTTATACTATTTTGTTTAACGTAATTTTAGCATTTTGCAACTTCTCAACAACAAAATGTGGTTATGTGTTATGTGCGCTCATCACAAAATTTTCAATTACACTAGTGGCACATCCGATTATTGATTAAAAAAATTATTCTAATAATGCAGACTTTTTTTTCCAGTTCGCATAACTGGTCTTATAGATCGCTTGTCGCCTTAAATATCCTTCTTCATCTCTGCTTATCTTGGGCTATTTCTTACCAATTATCTGTATGCAGCTCTATTCCATCTTTACTTATTGCATCGATCCATCTGTTTTTGACCATCTACATAGTCTCTTGCTTTCAACTATTGAGAAATGCATTATTGTGCAGAATCTTCCTGATGAATTGCATCGAGTTATTGATTGACTAGTTTCTGTAAACAGTTCTTTATTATGTTTTCTTCAACATGCCTCAGTACCCTGATCCCAGATTGTTCCGGATATCGTGCGGAGAACATTTCTCTTCTTTCTTCAATACTTCTTCCTAGGGTGATGGTTAGTGTCCAGGCCTCGCAACCGTTCGTCAGAACTGGCTTTATTATAGCACCGTACATCCTTAATTTGAGATTTGTCAGAATTTTAATCAGAGTGTTTAAAAAAAAATGTAGCTTTATACATTTTGTTGAAATAATCATTTTAATTTCGGATATTAAAGAATCTATGTTAATAATTAAATCATTTCGTCGATAATCATTAGTACGATTTATCATAGAAGTAGATTGACAGTAACATGTCAAGTTGAATGAATATGGATTACTATAAGAATGAATAACTTGGAAAGAACGGTAACTATGTGCAGAATTTTGGAACCATGATATAATTCGATGCAGATACTATCATATAGAAATTTTATAGAAAGTATTATTTATTTATTTTTAGTTAATTTCTTATTTGAAATTCAGCAAGTGCACTGTCTGCCATCAACAGATATTGATCAAAGACATTGGAAAAGAATGTATACCATTGATTTCTTTATTAACATTTTTTTTTTTATAATTTGTTAATTATAATCACATAAAAAAAAATAAAATATAAGCCGGAAATTGGTACTGAAATTTCCAATTATATATTAAATTATATAAACAACTGAATGTAGAGTTGGAATTACTGGGACTGTACCAGTCCAGTGTGGACTAGAGTAGGCCGGGAGCTGCTGGCAAGATATCACAAGCACAGAGACACTATCTACTGCCTGTTATCTGCCAGCGGCTTAATTATAGAATTATCTCAGAGGCATTGATTAATGTCCTCCGAGGGTCACACATGTACTTATAAATGAAGGATTGGTAATGATATATAACAAGAATTTTCGCTTAGTTACCCACATTTTTTTTTTTTTTTTCTCTCTAATCGTATCCTATACATTTTTAAACAACCCCGTTCTATAAAAATTTAAGTAACAGTAACAATCTGTTATATCTGTGTGTGTGTGCGTGCGTGTGTGTGTGTGTGTGTGTGTTCTCCAGTTGAATTGAAGCAAAAAAAAGATAAATATTTAATATTATAAAATAAAGCTGCATTTTATTTCTACCGGCCGAAGTAAGCCATCATCAAGCCATTTTATCCAACCATGCTTGTTGCATGGTTAAATTATAATTTAATCAGACTTTGTACTACATGCAACAATCATGGTTAGATAAAATGGCTTACCGGACGAAACGTAGCTATGTAAATTGAAATAAATATGGTGAAGAAATAAAACACCTTATTTTATAATATTAAAAAAAAATCACCTTAAACAAGTATTATTTATTTATATTATATGGATAAATATTTATATACATATAATATAATAGTATATGTTTATGAATATTCATCTTTTTTTTTGTTGTGATAATAGCCATCGAAGGACCACGATTTTTTTATATATACCATATCATTTTTCGTCGTTCTTATTAGCCCATGTTCTCTTCAAAATATATATCTATATTAATATATAAATATTTATATAAATACAGACCGGATTTTAATGTTATTGCACAATTTGAACGCTTGGGTGTAAAAACTTCAAATCCGACAATCTAACCGTTTTGCGATCTGTAGAATAATATATTGAAATTTCATTCTGCACGTTTTGGCCTTTTCAAGCTTAATAACACGTTTTTGTTTTTCGTTGCATGATATTGCATATTTTGCAATTTATGAGTTGAATTTCAATTTTAATTACATAAAGTAAAATATTTGAACCGAAATTCTTTTACAACATATATATAGGAATGTATTTAAATATTTATTTACTTATATTGTTTAATATATTATATTTGTAGTTAAGGACAGAGTTGTCCATTGCCGCTTGGCAAATGTTTTCTGACAAAACTCCGCCGAGTTACTCAAAGGAGTATGGATTTTCAAAAGATACAAGACTTCATCAAAATCCCCTTTTTTATTTTAAATTTCTCTATTGCTGTAAAATTAAGCTTTAATTAAAAAATGCACGGGATTTTGGTTTTAAAATATATTTTTATACGGAATTAAGTTAATCGTTTTACACTTTAAATTAGAATTAAATATTTCTCACGTTATTACAGGCTATATCTAACTTCAATTTAGAGGCTATAACTCCTAACGTAATAGTGAAGAAGAATCAATATTATAAATTAGGCAAAAGCTATGATTTTTCATGTTATATATGTAATTTTACAATTTTGGGATTTTTACTCCACAATTTTGCATATTTTTAATTTTATACAGTACGTTTTTAGATTTTTTATTGCACGAAAATCCAGTCTCTATTAATAAATAATATATTAAAATCGTTAATACTATTTATTAATTTATTTTAAGCATGCATAATGTATTCTTTATTTAACTATATTTAATTTAATGAATGAAAAAAGTAAGAAATATTTTAGAAAATAATAAAGATAATAAGGTGAAATGAATGTGGATTAGAAATGTGTTTTTGATGTAAACAATTTTATTATTATCTCTGAAAAATTCGTGAAAATCGTAATAAGGTTAGTAGGAGATAAGTTTGTCGCAAGAAGTTGGCAACTGACAGAAGATGGACAAGGAACCAGATATGTTTCTTGAAAACTAAAACGTAAAGTTATAGTGTAAATTTTTTATTATTTTTTTTTTTTTTTACGCATAAATACATTTGATAGTAAGCAACCAAAGAGGTAGATAAATAGAGATTTTCGATTACTGGAAGTTCGGTGTACAAGAATGCAACTTAATCATGTAGAATCCTATTTCAAAACGTTACTATACGGTTGTCTGAACCAATATTAAAGCAGAATCTATTTGAGATTTTGATTTGACGTTTATTAAGTAATTAATGTATATACTTTTTTTAAACTCTGTTTATGCCATTATTTCTCAAATGTTTATTATTAAATGTCATAATTTCTCTATAAATGTTTCTGTCGTCATGGTTGTATACAGTCTTCCCATAATTCTTTTGTTTTTTAACTTTTCGGACGTGCTCATCCGCCGGAGGCACTCACTCAGTTGTGAAAAGGACACGCTGGAGAGGCGATTCGTTAACCTGGCGACACAGCTGGAAGTCGCTCCGGCGACAGGTTGGAAAAACGGGCCAGTGATATCGTCCCTGTGAATATTTACAATTTCCCAAAGAGCCGGGTCGAGGGTGGACCGGCCGCGATAAATCTGGGGCCCCCCTCATCTGAAAAAATATCCCCACCCTTCCCCCTCCCACCAAGCACCGCCTAAATTTCAACCCCCTCTTCATCTCTTCCTCCTCGCCACAAATAAGTAAACAATTTTCACTGAGAGGAAGAGTTTTTTTTGGCCGGATGCAGCTTTTTAGCAGCGAGGGCGCCTGCTCCTGCTATATGACCAGTGCCTTCTGAATATTTCACCCATTCCTGAGGGAGCTCGGCCAAGGAAGAGAAAAATGGTTTCTATATCTGAGGGTGGCTTGGGTCCGGGTCCTTCTGCTATTTGTCCAAAATATTGAATCCTCCCGACAGGCCTATCATTTCCTGTTTAATATAAACCACGCGATTGCTCTTATTCTTACTATCGATTCCGTCAACATTTGAGTGATAAAAATAAATTAAGCAATTCTGCCCATACATTTCAGAATGATATACCAGCATACGAGAAGAATAATTATACTAACTGGATAATAAAAATGTTTTGAATTTTATATTGCAACAAATATATATGTAATATTATGTAAAAAAAAATTCTCAAGCGATTTTTTTGTACAATTATATCATGTCGTATTCATCTCTGGTGATAATTTTCATGACTATAAAAGGAGACGTTTTAAATGCAGTAATGTTGTTTTATCAATCTTACGCCATAATAAATAATATATTTACGGTTTCAAAAAATAATACACTGGCAGGCAAAAAATTCCATCCACTTGATTTTTCCATGTTTCCATCTAAAAATATTTCTGTAAAGTTGTATTTGTATATAATACATGGTATTTGTAGATAATAGTTAGTATTTATGAAATTTTATAATCTTTTTTACCTTTAATAATCAAAATGTGATTGGGTAAGAAAGATTAGAGAAAAAACAATTTAAAAACGAACCATTATTATTCTAAAAGAAATTAATTACATCATCGTTTAGTAGCGCGTGTTTCCTCCTCTTGCCTTCACTACTTCTTGAAGACGCCTCGGCATACTTACACAATTCTCAAAGTCAAAAACCGGTCATCTCGTGGTTCTGTTACCCTAGGCCGTCCAGAACCGGGCCTTCTATCGTAAGAACCAGTTTCCCGAAAACGTCCCGTAAAGTTTCATATGGAACTCCGATGGCATTAGATACATATCTAATGGAACGTCCATCATCAATAAGTGCCACACCACGCCCAACAATATAAATTTTGTATAAAACAATATTTTCTTATTGAATTACTCAATATAAAAAGAAAAGGGCACTTATTAATAAAATAAATTTTAAAACCGGCAATGTTTCATTCTGCACTGGTTAAAAAAAAAAAAAATTCAGAATTTTACAATAACGTTAATAGATATATAAAAAGATGTATCCCTCTCGTTGGCTTCTTCTTAATAATATTATAAATTTAAACGACAATTCTTTTTTGAAAACATTAACATCCTCTTCGGATAATAAAATTCAATATTTAACTGTAATGTTATTGAATATAAAATAATAAAAAAACCTATTCTAGGTTCCTTCAGATTATTAAATGGAATAAAATAACCAACAATTTTTTTTATATTAACTATAACGTTCTCATTTCATTAAAGAAAAAAAATCTATCGTTTAAAATAATGTGATTCTATAGACAAAAAAAGACCCCTTTCGTATATCCCCAGTGCTAAATACAAAACACGAAATCGTAGTTCAGTAGGAACTCACGGACGAATAGTTAAAGCAAAATGTTTAACTACTTATAAAGGATCATTTAAATACTCATATATATTGAAAAGAGTTCGGTCTTGAAATAGAAATTTTAAATCCCAAGAGGTGCTATGCTTATTATGAAATCCTCACAAAATAACGTCCCCAATCCACATATCGTAATCTGGTATTATATCGACCCTGATGACTCATATTTCCCACAAACGGTTCCTAGGACCGACTGAACTAATGCATTAATAGACACGTGCGCTCTACGGTGCTAAAGTTCTCAGCTTTTAAGCGAGAAGAAAGCCAGCGAGAGAACTGGATTAGAATTTTCCAGTTTAATGTCTGGTTTCCAAAGTTGAAAATTTCTTCTGATTGATCTGAAACAGTTTTCACTCAGAGAAAAATATTTTCTCATGTGACCTTGCTGTTGTTTTCTTTTGGGTTATTCTACTCTTTACCTGAATTTTAGAAACAAAAAGCTGTGTGGTTGGAATTTGCTAATTATAATCTAACATCGATTTTCTGTCTCGTTTCGATTTTTCACTCATTTATATTGATGGGTTTTATACTGATCTTTATGTAATTTTGTATGATCTTTACTAGACTATGAAGGTGGAAGTTTAAATCTGCATAATTCTCTATATGTAATCTGTAGTAAAATATCGGATGTCCATTTATCTATTTCATTTTAAATGGATCCACTAATGGCATATTACATCGGTTATGCATACTGTTTGCTAGAATTAGGTCTCAATATTGAACAAAAATATGGTATATCAAGCGTTAGGGTAATTCCACGATCAATTAAACGGCCATTTCCAATGTCTTTAACTTTACCTGAGGAGGCTTAATTTCAAACCTATTATGGTCAACGTCCTGCAATATGCTTAATTAGCATATTAAACTCGTTACTTCATACCAAACACGAAGAAGAATTTTTTCATTAATCCTAAAGTTGTGTCGGGAACACAAAAAAAAATCTTTTCCATTTCATTCTTTTATTTTGTTGGAATAAATAGTTATTTTGCATTGAGCCGTTAATTAGATTATTCATATTTGATAGCGTTTTTTTTATGGTTTAGTAATTTTTTGGATATTGTAAAACTGTTTACCAATTTATTGGTTTGCAGTAAAATGTTTAGAAGTCCGTTAAAGACGAAGTAAAACAGAAGTCAGGCATTCGGATTACGGGGTTAAGGTTGGAATTTATACAAAATCTATGTCTTTTATAATTTATTTAAATATGTTGTAAATATTGTTAATTTAAATATTCTATGCCTAATGAAATTTATTTAAAAAATATGAGCTAATTTCAAGGAGACATTTTCAACCTAAACAATTTCATAAAATTGCGAACCGTCCTTTTATCTCTGAGGGAATATACGGAAATATATTTTTATTCAGTGGGTACCATATCTACGGAAAAGTTATGAAAACTAACATGAAGAGTATATGTGTATATAAACAACCCTATCAAAGAGAGATCATGTTAACCCTTCCACCCTGACCTAATATTAGCTTTAGGTCTTTTGTAAACATCTCCTTTCATCCGTTAACTCAAGTCAAAAGGCAAATTAAAACAGATTTCCCAGGAAGTTGCCTTTGACTTCTGAAGAACCGCGTCCATAAAATATACTTTTGGGAACTTGTTTTCATACTTCCATCTTATTTCTAAACTTCACGTGTGCGCAGGCATTTCTTTTAATATATTTTTTTTTAATTAATAAACTTCATATATCCTTCATTTTCCTTCTTCATTACCAATGAGACTTCTTTGTGCCTTTATTTGATGTTATCCCCATCCGTCTTAGCTGATATGTTTTATATTTATAAGTCAAATGTGTTTGAAGGCAATTATATTTATTACAATACATTCCATTTCACGGAAAAACATTAAATAAAGGCTTTTCAATAGTTAATTGTAGTCATTTTTTTCAGAAAACATGGGTACTTTAAGGTGATTGAATAGGAAATCACACTATTTCTTTAGACAACTTGAGATGAATTTCAAATTGTTTTCCTAATAAAGTTCAACTTAATTCATATAGACTTAAAGCTTATTAAATGGGGAAGTTTTTTTTTTTAAAGTGGAGTAATTATAGTACAGTTTAAGAGTGATAGAAAAATCAAAAATAATTTATGATTTTTTTTAAACGGAACTAACTGTGTTTAGCAGCTCAAAAGTCCTCTTTAAAGAGTTTTAACACAAAGTCTACTTTATTTTAAAGTAAATTTTGTCTTGTTTACTATGAAGCAATTTTTAATTATGCAAATCAAATATTTTTTAAGTTATCGCTTCAACAAAAAATGTGACTCACTACATTGTAACAAATATATTGCTAACGAATCTAGACGCTATTGGATTGATGAAAAGAGTCATTTATTTAAAATGGGGACCAGAATCATGCTCTCAGACTAATGACAGTATGTTCAAAAAGGACATGCATTGCTGCAAAGGAACTACACTCAAGCAGCTTGGACGGAGTCAATTTAGTAAAGATTTCTCCGATTTCTGGTCCAGTCGGTTTTAGAATCACAATTTTTTAGGTAGAAAGTTATGCTATACATCTTTGGAAATCATTAGAGAGCAAATGTTTAATATGAAGTTGTGTGAAAGAAAATAAATTAAAACGATATTAGTAATAAAATAACAAAAATGACATATAAGAAGTAAATATTTTGTAATCAAACTTCTAGATTAAAATATGGCTACTAATGATGTCCAATTCTATTACATGATTTTAATGTTATATTCAACAATAATCCTAGAAATTGTGTGCCTTTCCACGAAAAGTATTATCGACTTGATGCAAAATCTTAACAAATCCTGTAAACGCAAACGATGCTCGAATCAGACGAAAGTGAGAAATTGCTTTTCGAACAATTCTTGGCCCAGCCATTGATCCCAACTGTTGTGGTATCCCAGTAGAGCTCCCAGACTACAGACCTTAATATCTGTCGCTCCGGATGGCACGACGTCCCTGCAGCCTTCAATCTTGTCGAAGGATCCTGGCCAGAGAATCTTCTTCCTCTTCCTTCCGAGCCCTAAACCCCGAGGAAAGAGAAAAATGTAGCTTGGGAAGGTAGAGAGTTTGTCAGCTGTCTCCCATCAATCAACCTGCCCCTGTATGATGGAATACATTTCTCTATCCGTTTTATTTATCTATCTCTGTATTCCTTCTCAATGTATATACTTTTTTTTATTAAAGATAAATAATAATAACTTGATGGACTCCACAATTCTGATAATGTTTATCCTCAACTACTTCCTGGTTCCAAATAACAATTTTTTTTAAATATCTTTTGTTAAATAATTAATGGACCCCTGTG